CCAGGAATCGCCTCCACTTCTTCGTCCTCTTCTGGGGAAAATGAAGGTAAAAATATTTAGTTCATTTAAGAAGGCCTATAAAGCGTACCACAACTGGAGGCCTAGCTGCCTTATAGTTCCCAACTGATAACTGTTTTATTCCTTTATCTAAAATGGTTGATAAGCCAGAAATGGCAGTTTTCGTCTCTCTCGCCTTTGTCGGCATTCTCCTTCTGCGTGCATTACTAGTCGATGTGTAATTACCTGCGAGGGCTTTTCGTTGAGCAGAAAGGGACTAAAATGTCCTGTAACCTGGCCGGCGAACACACGTTCAAAACAGGTTTAGTTTTTCTTCACAATAGATACACAACTTCTCGGTGCATTTACTTATTTCCTACCCTTCTTTGTTGTTCTCTCAGGCTTGCTAAACGCCTTACGGCCACAGGGGCCTCCGATGGTGTTGCTGAGTCGACCGCACTACTCATCTTTATTCTCTGCAAAGAAAAAGGTGAGTGTGATATGGAATACCGCCCGTTCCCTTTGTCGAATCCCATTGCATGGGAGTCGGAGGCAACCCCCCTCCTCTTTCACCCTCCTGCCATACATAAAATATTTTAAACGGGCCGATTGGCAGCCATTTATATTTGCCTATAAAGTGCACAATAATTATAACACTTTGAAATTTCCCCGTTAGACATTCTTGAAACTGAAAAAAATGGGTCATGATGGTTGGATTTGGTTTTAGGGCCGTTTGATTGATATCTCCTCTGTCGAGCCCTTTTTGCTGGGCCGATTGTAGGCGGCAGCAGTAGCCAGGCAGTTGAAATGTGCCGTGAAAAATAGGCATAGGGAACCTTTCTATGTCTGCACGCCCGAGTGGACGAGACTGACTTCGATTGGCACAATATTGACCCTCAAAGTCGCTCGTGGCGTCGTACCAGTCCTAGTAGTAGTATTTCTTTGTTTTCATACCGCTGTGCCAGATGTCATCCTAACCTACACTAAAAGTAAAGCCTTTCATCAATTCCGTGTACCGATAGAGATTGAACCTTTTGCTATTAAAGCAGTGGTTAGCTGGCTCTTTTCCCGCTCTTTCATGAAAGAAAAACATGATTTTTTTGCATCATGGCCTTTCCTATCTACTTGTTTTTTTTTACTAATATGTCCTGGTGTTTTAGGGAATTTTTAACATTTTCTGTGTTCTAGGCTTCTTAAGACCCATGTAATTAACAGTGGCCGTCCACTTCTCAGGTTCAACATGACAGCGGCTCTTAATAGGCCGGTGTGACAAGTCCACTTTCGACAGAGACTATTCACAGCACGGAGCTGAAAACCGAAAACTGATAACGTATTAGTGTCTTACCAGACCTATTACTTGTTGGGGATTTTCAGTTACCGTGTCGCAGCCCCTTTGAACGGAATCAATTTCTGAGTATGGACAGTCTGGCCGTCAGACCGGTGGTTGCTGTAAACTGTACAAAGCTGGAATTAGTAAATGCAGTTACCACCGAGCCCGACGCGCTGTGTGTGACCAGTGTTTTCGATAAAATGCCACCTCCTTCAAAATGCTTACGAAAAGAACTTCTTGCCCATCAAGGATCATCGTATGATATAGTACATTCGAGTAGGGGATTTCATCTTCCATCAGATGGTTATGTGTGGTGGGGGTGGGCGGTTCGACAGTACAAAGATGGTATGTCACTGCATTCTGATTCAGGCGTTTCCAGTGCTGCAGTAAATACTAGTTACACAGAAGAACCAAATGCTATTATCGAAGCAGGCGTCTTCGTCTTCCGAGTTTCCAAAACCATACTGGACCTCGTCTTCAGAGACTGAACGGACAATTACAAGTGAGCGGTTATGACATATCTAGCTGATCCCCCGTTGCAAAATTTTGCGAGAATTATGTGATCCATTCCTCTTTTCGTAGGGGAATATGTCCTTTTCTGTAGACAGATTTTATGCAGCATATAGTTTGGAAACCTTGAATTCACGTGTAACGGCTCAAAATTATTAGTGGATTGAGAAACTTTTTAAAAACCGAAAGATACCCTTTTTCAAGTATAACATTTAAATGAGGCTTAATTTATTATCAAAAGAGTACGAGAAAGGATATTTTCGTGCATGTTTTCTATAAAATATATTTAAATTTATAAGGTTATTGAAAGTCGATGAGAGAAAATGCATCCTACTTAAGTAGCCATTTTTTACAGAGCATACGTTTTGCAGGCAATTAAGGAGAAACTTGTTTAAAATCTGTCGCCCTGAAGCGACCGAAATATCTTAGGATTAGGCCCTACGATAATCGATTTCAGAACCCTACTTTATTACCTTGTTCGAATCGAAAACACATTTTAAAGTGTCGATTGACGTTTCATGAGATAGGGGATCCACTGTACGTAGGTTACGTGGCAGACTCCGCGGGTACTAGCTATGCCGCTGCGTGACACAGCTGCGAGGGGTCTGCTCAACAGTGGGTCTCCCAGCGTTTCCCGTGTGCTTTTGATGGATACTGCAGTTGTTAAGTTTAGAAATTAATCGCTGATCAATCGAAATTAGGTCTTATTAGCTCAGTCTGAAAGTGGAAGCCATTAAAAAACAGCAACCACTTACTTAGCAAGCATTTGTATGCGGAAACCATGCTCGCAGCTGTCTTTGCTTGTACTCATTTCATAGCCAATCATTTCTTCAAATTTCGTACTCTATGAGAAGACATCCTCGATTAAAAAAAACATTTCTGATTCAAATAGCATCGTATCTGTACGTCTATTAGTAGTCCTCAGGAACTATACAAGCTAGCCCACATCCATTCGGAGCTTTTTATTTTATCTGCTAAATGACATTGGGGAATGTGTGCTTGTTCTTACACGGAGAGCATTCAGTTACGAACTGACGCTCCTAAATAAAAACACAACGGCAGATCGGACTCAAATTTACTCAGCAATAGGAAAACTTCTTTTAAAAACCATACTCTACCCCTAGTTTGCATATCATATTTGAAGAAGGCATAATTAGCTATCAGGTAAGTAGAAGAATTAATTTTTTGTGAACTTTTTCCGTTACAAATATTTCAGTTTATAAGGGCATTGAAGTTCAATAGAAAAAAACATACTAGTTAAGTAATATTTTTTTCCTCGGTGTGATTTTTTCTGCCAACCGAAAATAATTATATTCAAAAACCGGCGTCCTGGCATGTCTTAAATATCACGGGATTATGGCGCACGATTATCAACATTATAGGTCTACTTAGGGGATGTTTCCCGATCGAAACCACTTTTTGGGAATTATGGTTAACATTTTATGAACGTAGTCACTGACCGTACATGGTCATGTCTCGCATGCTTTTTTCTGTTGTGACGAGAACCTCCTCGCTGTTCAGCACAAGTTTCCGTCCTGATTTCTGCTGATGTCTCCTACATTTTTACCGACTCCCACACATTTACTAAGATTTTCATGTTTCGCTGTCAACCAAGGACTGAAAGCTATTAACGCTAAGTGCATCTTTCCTCATTGGGACCTGATATCGAGTAACTAACAATTCTGCTCACCTCGAGGAGTCTTTTTGTCCCGAAAAAACAATGTTTTGTGTATGCGTTGGTGTGTTTGCTGTTTTCTTCGCTTGTTGTAACATTCATCACGACCAACGAGCAGATTCTTTGGTCCGCCGACTTTCCATGTTGTTTTCATCGCTGTTCTGGGTCTGCCCGAATGAGGCACATTTAATATTCCTTTGCACCCTCCCCCTCTGTACACCCTACGACACATGTGCGACAAGTCTACTTTGAAGCTGTTCTCTCTCTCGGGTCACGGATGGACGTGACCACGATGCAAATGAATGCGGCCAGTCGATTTGGTGCTGCTTTTTTTACCCTTTCATCTGAAGCAAGGGGTGAAGTCCACCACTGTCTCACAGGCTGGGTCTTTTCGTGGCTTGTGCGTAGACCTCTTATTAGTGGAGTAGACTTTCGCTGAATTAAT